CAATATTGTGTGTAAATTCAGAAACTTTACCTGAGCATTTTCGGTTTTGTACTTTTGAATTTCATCTTGGGCACATATAAGCCTATACATAAAGAAACCCAAGGTTATATAACCAAGTTGTAATTTCATTGTGTATGTAAATATCTATGCATGAGCGAGATGGAAATACCTCCACTGCAAGTCAGTTATTTCATGAAGTAACTCCTTTTCCCTATCATGAGCTGCTTCAAGCTGCAGCTCAGAATTAAAAATAAAAAATAAAAAATTTAATAACCAATGTAGGTAATAACACCTACAAGTACTTATTGCAGTAAAAAGAATGAAAAGAAAACCACTGGACCAGGTGGTATGTGCCTCATCTTTTCATTTATCATTTGAAGAGATGAGAATGCTTGGTATGGCCTTTCTATTAATTCCCCAAGATGGAAGTAAAACAGAGATGGGAATCCTTTCCCTTTAGAACTTTTAAGACCGTTTTACCTGTTGAACTAGTCAGGTTGTCAGAGCAAGTAACATTCTAGCTAGAAGTATTGTGTAAAACCAACTTGAAAAACTCTTAAAAGTCTAAATTCTAGACAGAGGAATAGGGATATGTGAAATGTTAGGTCATCTTTGTGTCTTGGCACAGAGTCAGAGTTCATAACATGATTTCTGAAACCACTTATGCTTCACTAAACTCACTGATGGGAAGGCACAAGCGATTGCAGTGCAAACTGAACAACAAACATAGCCACAATCTTAGAACAGCAGACAATTCTTTTTGGGGGAAATGAGAAGAGGTTCATAAACTGTTGCAGCGTTAGGCAACTATTTCCAGGACTGTGTTGGCTGATTCTTATAGATGGTGAATCTGAATGTTGAAGTATCTTGATAATTAGTTAGGAAACAGATAACAATCTAATTGTACAATACAGAGTGCAGAATTGCATACCAAAGATTTTTCCACAACAGCTGTATTAGGTGGTGGACATCCTCCCTCAATTGGACGGTTGCCTGTGTGATGGAAAAATAAGGTAAAATTAACTAATTTGAAAATAGCAAATACTAGAAAAATAGGAGAGCTTAGGATCTTAATTTTCAGAACCTGCATGGTCAGCAGCAGAGATTTGCTTCATCAGAGTTAGAATTGCCTCCTGTTGACAGAAAAATATCGTAGGGAAATGCTTCAGCCATCAGTTGTAATGTTAAAACACCAAAAATAAATGGCTAAACAATACCCTCTGAAGAATATTTGTCTGCAAAACATTTTGCAATGTTGGAAAGAGAGAATGATGAGAAAGAGTTGAACAACCAGCATCAACTGGTGGTTGTGGAGAAACCACAGGATGTTGGGAAAGCACCTACATAACACATAAAGCTGCCATTAAATAAAACAATGATACAAGGATATGCACACATTCCTGTTTCTAGGGCCAGTGATGCATGTATTTCCAAAATTTGCTGCCTTAGATCTCATCTTTATCAGAGCACCAGTTTTTGGCATTGGTGAAAAAGAACAAATGAGTTTCTGTTTATGTATGACTTCTGGAAGCAGAAAAGGACACTTATTAATTGAACAATTGTTACACTATTACTAAAAGGTGCAAATCCATTAAAAAAAAAAAAAGGTGCAAAAAGAACCTAGCATGATTAACACACGCCCAAAACTTAATAAAAAAATTCTTAGTTTCGGCCATCATATAGTGTTTTAATCACTCTGGCACATATATGCTGACCTCCCTACCGACCTGCATGCTGTGACTCTTCTGCAGTATTGGCGAAGGGCCAACCTGAAAACAGAAGGTGAATGCATAGCCAACATAAAAATGAAAAGTTAAGCGTGTGTGAACATGAAAAAGAGAAGAATTATTCAGGATGGAATGATCTACTCACCTTTTCCAGATCAAGATTCTCAGATGTAACTTTAAAACGTCCTCTTTGCTGAACAACAGGAGGTTTTACCTTCTCGTCAAGTTCGTCATTGTTCACTGCTGCAAGGATACTATAGTTTAGCAGTAGAAGAGTAAATCACCTTGCAAAAGCAGGAGAACAACCGACCATGTATAGCACATCAAAAAGTGGGGGATTGATTGGCATGATGAATAAATAACCTATTGGACATGCAACACTTGCCTGATGATTTAGATAATTTTGATGGAAGTTCAGCAACAAAATCCTCTCCTGGTCGAGGAGAAGTTGGTCCACTGCATCCAGGAATACCTTGGGGCTGATTTTGCCTATTGCTAATGGGTGAGCACCGAAAAGATTAAAAATGTGATACACTTTACATATTCATGATAGTAAAAACACTGAAAGAAAGCGTTTGATAATAAAAATGTATGCTTTGTTTTAGATGCTGTCTCTTTTCTTTAATGAAAGAGAGCTTAGTCTTCTGTTTTGGTAAACCAGAAACATAACAAACAAACCGTGTCTTAATGAAAGCAAGGAAAAAGAAAAGAGAAGAAGATACAAAGATAAAAAGAAGAAGGAGTATAATGGAGATTGATTCCTTATCTTGTTTATGGTAGAATAATCTGCAAACATAATCTTTTAAAACTCTTAGTGGAAAGAAGAGATTTTCTAACAACTAGTGCTAAAAATATTAAAATAGCCATTTTAATTAAAATGATATCAATCTTTGACCTCCTGAAGACTTAATTATTTGGGATTTTCAATAAAAGTTAAATTCAAACAAGTTTAACAGATTATTAGATTACCAGGGCACTAGCCTTCTTGCCTTAGCCTATCCCAAAAGGCAATAAATGTTAGGCTGAGTTTTCATCGATTGGCACCTCAGCTTAGTGTGAAGACAAGTACCTTGACAATACTGCATCTACAACCTTTAATGGCGACAAAATTGCAAGCACATAAAAATAATGGCTGTTTTCCATACAGCATTTGCCCTTCTGTAAGTTGAATTGGGTTCAATTTTCTTTGTTTCTTTCCTTCCCTGTTCCTTTATTATTCTCAGTCTTCACTACCTTACACTTGCCTTTTGATTATTCATCATCCAGTGTCACCATCATCAATATTTTCTCTTACATGCAAATCAGATTCTTACATGTACTTTTCCGTCTATTCTTTCCTTTTACTGTGTTTTCCTGTTCTAACTGTTTTTAAGTTTATGGTTACAATTCCACTAAAAAAGTTATATGTAGCATGCATATATTTCAAGAATAACCTCATTGACAAATTTCAGCATGTTTACATTAATCAGAAGGAAACCAAAATTACCAACTCAAGTGATTGGATGCAAGAGATCTATCATTTGCTACAACAATCTAGCAAGCTAAACTATATTAATCTGAATCCATAGACAGGGATTTATAGAACTGGCTTCTGACACTAGCAAGTAGCAATCCTTGAAAATGGCATAGCTATTCAATTCTACTTATTTCTTTAACCAATCAGGAATATTTATGTGATTGAAAATTTCAAATGGTAACTCATTTTAATATTACTCAGTCTTTTTGCATTTCAACCAGTTCAAAAACCACTTGAATATCTTACTCATGTTTTACCCATATTATTTTGAATGGAAAAATGGGGGGAGTTCTCTTAATACAAAGGTTGCTGGTAAAGAGAAGGTTTCTTAATTTTGTTAGACAAACATTGCAGGTAAAAAGAGGGTTGATTTATGAAAAGACTACAGCATTTCACTCAGTTTTCACCAATAATTAAAGTTCACAATTATCAAAAGCTCAAGTGTAAAAGACAGATCTGATCATTTTGGGTGAGTGTTTTTCACTTTTACTAGCTGAGTTCCTAATTGTTGTTCAACTCAAATTTTTGTGGCAATCAAGTACCCAGATGTCCTCATAAAGATGGAAGCTAGAATAGCATGCTGAGTATAATGCAGGCCATGAGCATTTAGGGTATGCTTGGTTTGAGGGAAAAGGAGGGGAGGGAAGGGATGGATTTTTTGACCAATTAGATTGTAATATTTGAAAATGTTATAATTTGATTGGTTGAAAAACTCACCCCTTCCCTCTTGTCCCCTCCCCTTCATTTTCCTCAAAATCAAACATACTCTTAACAAGCCACTTTTAAAAGGATCAATTTGTTCGTCAAGGTCCTCAAGGAAGCTCACATAAAGACAAAATAAAATTTAAGCTCCTCCTAGGTGGGATATACAAGATAAATAACGTTAGAACCAAGTAAGCAAAAATGAAAGCATTAAACAAACCTCTCTCCTTTTGTTGGAGGGATATTAACCTCAGGTGAATTGATGCTGTCTGAAGAACCAACTGTTCTCTGATGATTAAGTGTGATTGTATTTTCCAAAGATTTTCCTCTGGCCTCCAAGGAAAGCTTTTCACCCTGATTACTTTCAATATTGTCACCATGACGAGGAGAAACCACAGACTGTTCATTACGGGGACTAGTGATGCTTGAATCAGCATCAGATCTGTCCCATTTATCCCGGAAATTCCAAACCCATATTTATTAGATTAATTCAACTAAATAAAATCTTATCCCCTGTAAAAAATTAAATGA